TTTGACGACAAACTGACCCATAAGGGACATTCTGAGTGCTCAGGCTTGTACTTCTGCCCAGTCTTGGCCTAAATCTGTCTTAGCATTTGAATCAAACTACTGTGCTTTTTGGGACATTTTTTTTTCCTAAATGGAAAATACTAGCTGGTGAGAACTTCCACACTAAAAACAAATTCTAAATACCACACTTGTTTTTGGAAGAAACAGATTTTAAAGTCCCACTTTAACATTAGCATAAATTATATTTTTATACTTGCCACTGTGCTATAAGTACGTGTGGCCTGCTAACAAACACTTGAACATTTACTTGTAGTAAAGCACAAAATATGATTGATACCAAGGACAGAAAAGTGAATGCTCGCATGAATACACATTTTCCTCTTCTTTGATGGTGCTTAACCATTACTTAACCAAGTGTTTGGTCATTTTTATGAAAGCCAATTACGTAAAATTCACTTGATATGTAAAGGTTTTCTTTACAACCTTTTACAGTTTTTCCCCACACAACTAAACTGGATTTACAGTGAGAGCAGGTTGATGCATATGATTATGTCTACATATCTAAATAATAGGAATACACAATGTTTGTGACCATTACTCATATTCAGCTGTCTACCCAGTTAAGACATCATACAGCAGACAATTCGACTATCCAGATCAACAGGAAGCAACAGTATTCCTTGTCCTGCTCTGCGGTGTTCAGCATAGCGGCACATAAATCACACCTCCACCTGCCACAGATTCTGGAGAAGCTCACAGAGGACTTCCAGAATAGACGAAGGCTACTGTTGCTAGATGCAGTCCACAGTGGTGGTGTTGAGTCTGTCCAATCACAGGACGAAAGACTCTCTGGGGAAGCAGCTCAGTGACATTGAGGGTTGCTGCAAAGATCACATCTGCCTGCTGGTGCAGAAACTGCTTAGCAGCAACTGCAGTCTCAGAATTATAGCAACTGGATTGGCCATGGATAAGAAAATAAACACTGGCTTTGAAATTTGAAGAAAAAAAAAATGCTAAAAGGAGTCCCAAATTATTCTTGGACAGGCATTAGTATACAAAAGTAACCTACAGAAGTAAAGTCATTTCTGGGAAAAACCGTTTTGGAGTAAACAAGTAATTTAAATGCAGGAACATTGGATTTACTTGCAGCCCTGTTTTAATAAGATTCAAAACCTTTTGTTTAAAAAAAAAAAAAAAAAAGCCCACAGAAACAATGTCGGATAATCTCATTACAAAAACATTATCACACCATCCAAACTGAAATAAGTATGCTCAACAAAATCGGGACATTGCAGCGATACTGCCCAGCCCGTCTATTACTGATCACCGAGTATTTGTGACCCATCACCAGAAAACTGTTTTTGTATACATCCAGTTTTGGTGATGAGTCAGAACGAAAAGCCTTCAGCACAGCTTATGATGCCCCTCTGATACTATGGTCATCCCAACAAAAAGGCCAGACATTTTCAAATGGTTGTTGATGAAAAGTGAATGAAAGGAGATGGATAGTTGGATACATTGAGGGCTCACATCTGGAAGCTTTTAGGACCAGATCCCTCCAAATTCCTGCAATGAGGTTAACTGCTAAACATGAAGCCAGTATACTATAGTCAATTCTTGTAGTCACAGTACTGTGTTACTCTACATATCACGCACAAAGAGAAAACAAGCACCATTATGTCACTGCTCCCGTCAGTCCAGATGATTAAGTTATACTGACATGCACTGTGCATATACACTGGGTTCAATCATTAGCAGAAGTTGCTGTGCATGAGATGATCTGGCATGAATGCTTGTTCACCACTGACTCAGAGAGATATAATCTCCCTGTTTATAATCTGTTTTCAAGAAATTATCATCAACATCAACCCGTCTGTCTGTCAGAATCCCTAATTTAGCACTACTAAGAAATCATCCCCTGCTGCTAGCCAACACACAACAATGGAGTAGGGGCAAAAACACTTTTACACAACAGCTCAGCAGAAAAATCCACATGCATATAAGCTACGACAGAATACAGAATTAACAAGTGTCTCTCTGGATAAAGTTGAGCCACAGCTAGTATTGAAAAGATTACTATTCAATGTAGTACTGTTGACAAAATGTGTGTTCTTTATGATCAAAAGGCCAGCTGAACAAACTATATGCACCGGTTCATGGAATAAGAAAACACACGGAGTAGTAGAGCTAAAAGTTTGGTTTAGGTTTTGAACTCCTACAAGTATGTTTTAATGGGAATACTACTGAAGCCTGTGGCTTGTGTAAACATCGCCACTTAGCAATACGCGCCAGAAAACAACACAGAGCTGCAGTCTTCAGCTCAGAAACCCTCAAGCCAAATCCCATTTAAAAATTTAGAATTTTTCTTTGAATTAAAGACAAACCCAATTTTTAGAAATCAGAAGCAAGATTGTACTTCCTCGCGGATCGGGAAACTGTTGGGACACTTTCGGCTTCACTCAATCATCAATCTAAACTTTATTTTTAAGGAAATGTCAACTTTTGCTGAGCATTTGCCCCTGAAGCTATCGTCCTCCACCGTGTATTTTGAACAGAGCTTTTGTAAAGGAGCAGAGACTATAATAGGTTAAAAGAAGGTAGAAGCAACTTGTCAAGTATTTTATTTGGTGCATTCCAAAGTGATAACACAAATGCTGTGACGTGAGGAAGACAGCACTTAATTACTACACTATTAGCTAGTTAGTCTAAGATGGATAGTAAGATAGGTCTGACATTATCTTCCATACTCGAAGCACAAACAGCCCACTAGCAAGAACTTTCTTACCACTTAATCACCAAAACCCTCAAAATGCAGTTTACAAAAAAGCTCGAACATAGTTGCATCCAAATGAATTACAAATTAATCTAAAAAGATCCGTGAAAGAAAGACTGTTGCTGACTAAAAAGGTGTGCCTGTTGTTAACGACAGTGAGGACCAGTCCTGCTCACTCCAGAACCGGGCAACGCTAACACGTAAAGCGGGCCTTTATTGTCAGAAATAAAACCTGAATAAGTATTAGGGGCTAGCGCTGGGCAAAAGAAGAATACACAAATAAAACTTGGTTGTGAACTCACCCTCTAAAAGCCTGGAAATCAGCGAGTCGACGTCCAACTCCCCCTCCGCCATTTCTGTAACGAACAGCTCTGCCCGCCGCAGTCTGAAGCAGGCAGGGCAGACACCGCCTCACCGCACAGAAACCGCCTCCCTTTCGCGGCCTCCCATTTAGGGCCATTACGCCTCATTCAACTACACCTCGGATATTTTAGTTTCTAGAATAGAAAGGAGAACAGTGGACTTTTTTTAAAAAAAACATAGTAATCCTGTTCATAAGTTTCACATACTTTTTTCCTCCTCATTTTCTAATTCAATCCTCATATTCAGCCATTGCTATATAAAGCCTGGCTCAACCAAAAAGGTCATGATATGAGGGTACAAAAATGTATTTGTATTAGAAAATAAGGGTAGCCAAAAAAAAAAAAGATGGTCAATAGCATATTCACTGCATTTTCTTGCTTTTTACCTGTGATTTTCGATTGCGTTGAATGCATCAGCTAATCCAGTGCTTCTTACAGCAACAATCATAATAATAACGATGCAAAAATTACCATTAGATATACTCTATTTATAATGAAACATCGTTTACACTAAGAAAACAAGTTTTCGTTTTCACCATATTCTATCAAAGGACAGGTGTCTTAAAGGCCCTGATTTATTCACCTCCAGCGCCCCCTTCTGGCCAGGATATGTCAACACTCTAAGAGTTTTGAAATTGTTTACTGATTCTTAGAGCAAAATCAGTCCTTTATTCACGTTACTTTGTCTTCAATTGGACTAAAACAACATGGTGAAATAATCGTTGTTTTAAAAAAAAGGCGTTTGAAGCCCTGTCACTATTATCACACTTTATTAAGTAGGCAATGATTTCTAGTGCAACCAGCAGACCAGAAACGTGTAAAGAAAGACCGTGTGTGAAGGACTGGCCTGAAAAACACTGAAACTGGTAAACTCAGGATCTATATGTTGTGTCTGTTTACAGAGAGAAAAGCCCGAGAACCGACAGACAGGAAAAAAAGTGAGTTGGATCTTAATCTTAAGACTCTTCCAGGTTATGACTAAAGCCAAGAGTTATGTTATTGCCTCTCCCACTCACTTATTTTTCAGTTTCTTTCAAGTGCGTCACTGGGTATTTCCGCACTGTTTTGAGTGGGTGGAGGCAAGTTGCACTGCAGAGAGAAGGCAAAGGTCTGCAACTAGATCAAGCTAGCCACAGCGCCGGACACGACGCAATTTTCCCTCTTCAAAATAAAAGTATGCAGTTTTTTATGCGCAATTGCTTGTCCCTTGCAACTAGACAAAAGTCTTAAAATAAGTAACGCACAATTGCTGCTATACTAATGTGAAAAAGCGTGAAAACCATGAAAACAAACTATTGTTAATTTTGGAGACTTGGTAAAGGCAGTGGCTGGCTTTAAAAAATAAAAAATAAACCAAGTTATTGTTCTGTTCACACCTATTTTCGTTATCTTGAAAATTACCCATGTTTTGATTTTTTTTAGTTCACTATAAATTCGATTAATTAATTCAACATTTGGGGATAAAGCTAGTAGCTTCCTAAGTAGTAAATAAAAGGCGTTATCAGGGAAAGGTTATCCAATTTCAGATGCTGCATTTGTAATAAACGTGGCACAAAAACAATGCCTACTGTGTGAGAAAAAGACATCGCAATGAAGAGAATGAAGCACGTATTGTGCAGTTGCTGCAACTTGGCGAGATGCGTGTTTCACAACAAAGTTGCAGCACAACGCTTCCCAAATAGATGTTCCTTACCGGAAAACCCGTGAGCATGAACGTAACTATGTCTGCGGCTTTACTAACTGTACACTCTCGTACACAGACGTAGGTGGAGCGAAGGAGGCGACAGAGCGGCTCTGTCAAGAACTTCGTGGAGTCTGTAGTGCCGTGTTTCCTGCTCTTTTTTGGCTTAAAATAAGATACAAATTATTGAGAAACAGCGGGGGATATCGAGGAGCGTGAGCTGGACTTGGACACAGCCATGGACCGTAAGTGGAGCTGCTTTTATTTACTCATCTCAGACACGGGAGGCGAAACTGTATAGGGAGTTGTTTTGCGCACAAGGGAAAGCCCCGCTATCATTGGGTTTTGCGCCAACAGGAGGAGTCTGTTCCCGGATAGTAAGCTACCGTACAGACAGAAGTTTGACTTAACTTTGATTTATCGCATACATGTGAGATAGCCGAGAGAAACTTGATGTTTAACTGAATGAATTTCTCAGCGTGTGGACAACTCAACTGGCACGAGCGGAGCGAACCAAACAAGTCTCGCGCTGCCAAGAGGCCTGTGGGGTTTGTCCACTTGAGAGATTTCCTTCTAGCCACTGAAACTTCGTTCAGAACTCTCGCCATTTAATGTTTTTCTGTTTGTAAGTGGAAATATTTTTTGTGAATCACGCCCTCAAAAGCTTGTCAGTCACAGTGAATAGTGTATTTTAAATTCGGCCTGGTTAAAACCACCGTATAATGTTCTTTTCAATAAAAAAAGACATATTTAATTGGGCGACGCGTTTAGCAACCGCCCACTCCGGCTTTAATTGACAAAAACGGTTCCGATAGGAAATTGTGGCAATAAGCTCTGTGTTCAGGAGAACACGTGTATGCAGATACTGTGAAGATTTCACAGCCGCCTCCGTTTCTATTTTCTTCCATATATGCCTTTGCCTGTAGGCTAAACCATAAACAAACGAGATATTATAATGGAGTTCTGTTGACTTCCTATGTTTAGAGTGCCGCCACACTTTATGCAAATGTTATAAACCTTAAAATAGATTATGTTTGTTGATAAGTGTCACTTATCTCTGTCTTGGTTGTCGATATTGGCACGACAAACAGCCAACATCTGACTGAGCATCATAAAAGTATGTCCCTTTGTTCGGTCAGTAAAAATGAAAGTGATTCTAGCAACAGTATCGAAGGCCTCAGCTGTGATGCTCTTAATTCAGTCATTAATGATCTTTCGGTCATTGTGGGTATGTGCTTTCACTTTCACATCATCCAGACTCAGTAAGTAGAAAAGGCTGTCTTTCACATAAGTGGTCAAAATGCAGTCATTACAGACTCATGTCATCCATTTTTTTTTTAACAAACAACAACTTTTGTTTGTTTGTTTGTTTGTTTGTTATTTTTAGTCTTCACTTTGGGGCTTTACACAGCCTCTTCATTCAGTATTATTCTGGCATTTTAGGTATGATCAGAACCTAAAAAGCAAGATTAATGTCTTTGAGCTAATGCTAGAAAGCGAACATGTTACAGCATGGAAAGGACTCTACTCAAGCTTTTGAACTGAACCTTTCCTGCCTGCTGATGGGTGGAGCTTTGATCGACTCACGCAGTGTCACACCTTACTTACTGCCTGAAACTGGAGTGCACCCTGCACTAAAGGCTTCCAGCAACAAAGCTGGTAACCTGACACCAATATTAAAAGCCCTGCCTGTCATTGTTTGCCTTTTTCTGCACGTCGTCTTCTTCTCGGTAGCTTTGCAGGCAAGTGGTTTATGACAACCAGAGATTATATTTAGCTGGGAGGCCCTTGTATCTAGGCGTCCTTCGACCCCGTTGGACGCTACACTCTCCTGTAGAATTCCACCCTGACCTCACCACAAATGACAAACTCTGACTAAACCACAAATATGCAACAAATCTGTTTTCTGTTATTTTTGTCATCTCCACCACCATTACATGCTTCCTCGTGTAAGTCGTAGATGGAAAACCTGCAGTTTTTCCTCAATAAGTTGGTTAAATTCCTCTCTTGTTTCTGTTCACCACAGCTGGATATGGATGGAGCCTTACCCCGCTCAACCAGGGTAAGCGCACTTTCCTTTTTTAAAAAGAATTACTGATGTTCTCTGCAGCGATTTCATGAGTAAACATTTCTACCCTCGGGTGTAGTGACGATCGATGAGGCTGTCTGTGTTGACACACTGACACAAGTAAAGCAGTATTTCACAATGACACAATGCCTTTGCTTTCCTCAACAGCTCCCTACATAGAGATTATCGAGCAGCCAAAGCAAAGGGGGATGAGATTTAGGTACAAGTGTGAGGGACGGTCTGCTGGCAGCATTCCCGGAGAAAAAAGCAATGACACCACTAAGACGCACCCAGCAATCAAGGTGAGTTGGCACAACTTACTGATGCGTTTCAGCGACGATTCATTAAATATCATTTACATTACAGATAATATACACATTGGTGAAGATTTAGGTAAAACGGGTGCATGCAACCACAGCAACTGTTTCCACAGTGACTCATGTACGTCAACTGTACATTTATGG